CAAGAGATGTGAAATGCTTCTTCTCAGCCTATTTCATTTGGATCCCCTTGTTCCCAGTCATAGTTGTGGATGCGGTTAGCTTCAGAAACTAGTGCTTTGATATTAAAATATTCAAGGAAGGAAAAGTAAATTGGGTTGTAGAATTTCAAGTGACAGGAAAGAGAACGATAAAAAAGATCAAATAAGAAAACCCAAATATACTGATCCAGAAAGCTGATTTATGCTTTTATTGGTCTGGGTAATAGAATTAGGCAATTAGCAAACTGACATAGTTGGTTTGGTTAAAAAAACGATTCGAAATGAACCACAAACACCCCTAAGGAAAACCAACTACACTCCCATGGCCTGTCATTTAACAATTTTATAAAAGGGAAACATAATACACAAAGTAGTTCGATAAAAAATAAACTGATTCTTATTTTAACAAATTGCACAGTCCATCCTAGCATCATTAATCAATTTTTTATTTTCTGAACAATGTAGCAATTGTCAATCGCGCAACTCCACCAATAGGTATTTGTTCTATTTTGAACAAATACCTCCACGTTCATCTTCTTAGAAGCCTGAATCAATGTGGTACTACTTTTTGTACTACTTATCTACTCCGAAAACAAGGCTGTCATGATTGACTGTGCATGCATCTTTAAAAAATTGTATATCTGTCATGTAGACAAACTAATGCTATAATACCAAATCCAAGGAAAAAATTGTTCCCTAAACATAAAAGGGTTCTAGCTCAAAAAAAGTCTCTCGTGTGATCATAGCGTGTGATAGATCAGTTTAACAGAACCGATCTCATATAATTTGAAAGTTCAATGAATAGGCCAACACTTTGGCACCACTGTTCAAACATGTGATGTTAGATTCATCTGGTGGAAAACAATTTCCTCTTTGTTACCATCAAACTAGTGCACACATAAAAAAGAAGGAAATTTTACCTTTGTGTCGAGCATGATGGCTATGACGTTGTCCTTAGACTGGGCATTATACTCCTTAACCAAATCAATGACTTTCTGATGAGATGCATGGTCTCCATGAGACATATTCAGCCGAGCAACATTCATTCCAGCTTCAGCCAGCTTCCATATCATCTCCCTTGTGTTTGTAGAGGGACCAATTGTACATACTATCTTCGTCTTACGCCTTACAGTAGGTTTAGACCACATACCCACAGAAGTGTCACCAAGTTGCTGAATTGCCTGAAGATACTGAAGTTGCTCCTCACTCTGAAACATCAACAACCAAAAGTAATGAGATAAAGCCTTTTTGATTGATAGTAATGAGATAAACGCCTTGGTTTTGCTGTCAAAGTCAATATTCCATAAATGCAAAGTTGTAGTAGATATTTTTTCACATATCCACTGAGCTGAAAAGGGCTCATTTTTTATAACCGAGCAAATCCCTGAAAGGCCAATGGCACAGGATTCGAAACTCGGTGGATAACAGGCCTTCCCCTCTACCTTTATCTACGTAAATACCAGGATTTTGTCTCCCACATCCTGTGTTGTTCTCTTAACACTGGACCAAAACCCTGGGGCCAAAAAAGGCTCAATTTTTTATTGTCGTAATCCACAAATTTAGATTAGCTCTAGATCGCTACATCTTACATGCTTTTCAACTTCTAGTATATATATATATACTAGAAGAGTACGGAACCATAGGCGTAGTCATTAAGGATAAAAACAGATAATTACGAGATAATTTGCAGGGAAAAAGAGGACGACCTTAGGAACATCTTCAGGAGAAACGGGGAGGACTTGAGGCTCGGCACGCACAGATCTCCTAGCAGTGATCTGGGGCGCATTCACGCGAATAGCATTGCAGCTCTTGCTCCGTTCATTCCGAGCTAGCACTTTTGAGGAAAAGCTAGAAGGCTTAATAAGTTTCTCAACCTGGCTCTGGAGAGATCCATGGCTAGGGCTGGAGAATGAAGCTTGAATCGAGCGCGTAGCCACCACTTGAGACATGGGTAGATAGAGAGAGAAATGGACGGAGAATTAGAGAGAGAGAGTGAGAAAATGAGTGAGGGAATGAGGAGAGAGAGAGTATAAAAGGCAAAAGCAAGAGTGTGAGACTTTGAAGAAATCGCCGCTATTTTTTGGCGGAGATGTCGAAGAGAGGGGCCTCGTGTGTATCGAAGAGGAAAATATAAAGAAGCTGGAGGTTTGCTCAACTGTGTTACAGAACTGGAAAATATGAGTCAATTCTTTTTAGTCTCTATCTAAAAGTGATTCAGCAACTTCATAACAAATTGGATTAAATCGGCGTCGTTTTTGTTTGACGTTTCCTTGTTTGTGATACATCACGTGATCTTATTATTATTTTTTTTTTTTTAAATTAGAGGTTTGTACCGGTATTGAACCTTGACCTAGTAGTTTGGAGATAATTCCTAATCACTACGAACAAGGATGGCCGGTACCTGATCTTAGACTTCAATTTCATATTTTCTTACAAGCGGTAGAAAAATTTCAGTGTAAGAAAGGTTCAATTGAAAAAATTATAATATTTCAAGTTAGGTTAAACTTCTATTCGCTAATATAATCGTATAAGAAAAATATACTTAAAATTTCGATCTCCTCATATTACGTATGTTACACTTTCACCTTTTGATATATACTTCATGGACCATGGTGTAGATGCAAAATTATGATATTTTAATCATATAATTATTTCTTAGTAAACTTGAACTTTAGGTTTTGAATAGATTAAACTAGCACTTTTTTAAATCTTTTCCTTCTGAGTAGCTCAAAAAATATTTTTTTATATACCTTTCTTACGAGAATAGAACAAACCAACTTTTGCGAACTCATTAGAAGAGATAAATTCTATTTCCATTTAGTTTAGTTGTGCAATTAGAATTTAATTCTAAATGTCGATAATAGCTAAACTCATAATTTGTAAGTAGCACATCTATTATCTGACTTATGGTACCTGAAGATATATTATTTTTTTGAATAGTGAAGAAGAGAGTAAATTAAACAAACCATAGTGTGAATTTTGTGAAATACGAATATACATATTCAGTTTTTTTAAAAGGATATATTGTTTATCAACAAAATAATCAGTTGCATATTAAATCTTCAACACAATATGTTGCATTTTTTCTTCTTCTTTTGGATATGGTATTATGTGCTGTGTATACATACCTTAACAAGTGAAATCAACCAAGTATAATTTCTTTGCATACGAAAATTAATTTTGAAATTATATCGTAGTCTAAAATGTAAATTTGGAAAATACTTCTAACTTATCTTTCCTTTTTGCTTCGGTTCCTTCTTTCTAAACTCGAAGAGAGAAGAAAAACTAAAACGGCCGTCAAAGATCACATTTAAGTCATACTTACCAAATATTTCTTTTTGATTCTCCTACAAGTATTCGGCGGGCCAAACTTTCTCCACAACTCCTCTGCAGTTGTTATAATTGTATCGCCACTTCAGGCCATAGCAAATTTAAACCAAAAGTAGAAATTCCTTTTCACTTTTCACGGGGTGTGCACCCTCCACTTCCAAGAGTGGGTTACTCTACTGAGTGAGTTGCTCTAGTGGTAAGCACCCTCCACTTCCAACCAAGAGGTTGTGAGTTCGAGTCACTCCAAGAGTAAGGTGGAGAGTTCTTGGAGGGAGGGAGCCGAGTGTCTATCGGAAACAGTCTCTCTACCCCATGGTAGGGGTAAGATCTGCGTACATCTACCCTCCCCAAATTTCACTAATGAATTATACTTGGTTGTTATTATACCCTCCCCAAATCTCACTAATGAATTATACTGGGTTGTTATTATTGTTGTTATTTTGGCAGGGTAGGGATAGGACCGAATAGAATAAAGGAATTTAATTTCAAAGCAATATTAATACTTCACTCTACCGCTAGTAGGCTGTAGGCCAAAATTTAGCAAGCCATCCAAAGTTATGCCTTCCCTTCACCAAATATATTTGCTTCTCTTGTTCTTTTTTCCGAATTACTAACCTACACACACTGCTATATCAGTGTAATATAACTTCACATATTAATACATTCATAATACATGTTCTAATATGACTCAGCATATGCCCTTCCTTTATTCCTTAAAATTGAGCGGGCAAGGACTAACATCAACCTATAAACATCTAAGTCACACGCCGAGCGGCCTGCACTTGCTTAAGGCCCCAAAAATTTAAGGGCCCCAAAATTACTATTTCTATATATATAATAGTATATTATTTATATAATTATTTCTTATTATTGATAAATTTATTTCTTTATTGTCATATTATTTTTTAATAACTCGATTTCTTCCTCTAATTAATATAACTAAAATAGCTTTCTGTCAATCTTATATTACTTTTTTACTTAATTATATTTCTCTATTCATTAATTGGTCACGTAACTATAACTAATAATCTAACTTATTATTTATTTTTCTTACATAAATTATACTCTCTCCGTCCCAATTTATATGAAAGTGTTTGACTGGACATGGAGTTTATGAAATAAAGTAAGGCTTTTGAAACTTGTAATCTTAAATAAATCATAGAAATTTGTGGGCTAGAAATCATCTCATTAATAGTAAAAAGAAAAATTTAAAGTTGAATTGTTACCAAATATAGAAAGAGACTTACTAAAAAAAAGAGTCACTTAAGTTGGGACGGAGGAAGTATGTTTTCTGGGTTCTCCCATTTCAGTTGTGATGCAATCCACGTTAAATTTATTTAATTTTCTGTATTTTATAAAACTAAGTTCTTATTTTTTTTTAATTCCTCATCTTCACTTGTCTAATTTTTTAAAAAACGATGTTCATTAAATTTTAGATATATATATATATTAAAGCCTCTTATTAAGGCTTTGCTTTAGGCCTCGAATGATGTTGGGCCGCCCGTCACACGCAATCGGCTCTCGAGGAGCAAAGCTCCCAACATGTCGACTTCTGGTGCGGAAATGCCTTCCGATGTCATTTTTATCTTATATTCCTATACTACTGCTGTAAGTATCAAAACACTGCAACTTCCTTTGTTACTGGACTGGGCAACTATAAAAACGAAGAATCATTTACACTGTCGTGCACTATGCATATTTACACAAGTACGTGAAAGCAACATGAGCGCATCCTATTACCTACAGTACATCGACTCATGTCTTTTGATACAACTAACAATAGATGCAACCACATTCTTCCCAGTTGCAAATATAAAGATAATATTTCCTTAATTCCTTTTCCAACACAACCACATCCCCATGCTAATCAAAGCAGAGGAACGCGAATTAGTAGTACCATGCACGAGAAACGTTTTCTTACACCCACCAATGAGGCATGGGATCAGTTTTTGCAGTCTCAAACGAAAAACCAGCCACTTGATTCTCGTTGCTTGTTCCAGCTGTTGTACACCCCCTGCTAGCATTGCCATTAAGCTACCCCCGTGAACTCTGTCTTCTGGAAGTGACAATTGATCTAATGAATCACTTCTCAGTAAAAAGCTTGCTGGCAATTCATTCACTGGGGATAGCACTCCATGTCCATTACGGACCGAGCCAATTGCAGTTGCTCCGGTGCCTATGACCAATGTACCATCAGGATCGCGACCAGTAATACCATTTGCCTGTTTACATGTGCGACGTAGGGGTTCTTGAAGTGCTGGACTGACAACACCACCATTCCTCTGCTGATCCAACAGCTGAGCACTGTGGGCAGCGCAGAGGCCAGATTTCCCTCTGGCATACTTATCACATGCCATGGCAGCTTGATCACCACACTCTAATCCCAACTGTCCCCAAGTGCACCGCCTTCCTCCACCATGTGCCTTGCAAAAATCGGTGCTTCCTTGTGCACTCTTTGAGACTGTGAACTTACACCTCTTACCACCACCATGATGAACGCAGAATTATGTACGACCTCTTGCACTTCTGGTGCATCCAGACACAACACATCTCTTACCCCTACCATGACTAACACAAAATAAGGTACCCCATGCACATTCTTGGTGATGCATCATGGGTACATTTTTTACCCCCACCAGTGGCGAAGCCACATGGTCACAAGGGTGGTTAGTTGACCACCCTTCGTCGAAAAATTGCATGTGTATATAGGTAAAATATTATGTTTTAGAGGTATATATCACATATTGAACACCCTTTGTCGGAATTTTTTTTTACTTCTTTTAAATTTGAATACCCTTGAAAAAATTCCTAACTTCGCCACTTACCCCACCATGTCCTTTGGAGTACTTCCTTCTACACCTTTTGTGCAACCTAAAATGGTACACCTTTTGCCGCCACCATGGGCTTTACAAAACATTGTGCTCCCTTGAGCACCTTTCTTACAGGCAAGATACTGGCAACGCCGACCACCTCCATGCGAGATGCATAGGCCGGTGCCGCCCTCAGCACTCGTATAACAATTTTCCATCTTACACCTTTTCCCACCCCTATGTCGAATGCACAAGCCCGACCTCCCTCTTGCGGCACGAGTGCAGCCTTCATGGCTACATCGTCTGCCACCACCGTGACCAATGCAGTAGTCAGTGCGGCCTTCTGCACTCTTCGTGCACCCCAGATATTGGCACCGCCTACCTTCTCCATGTGCCTCACAGAATATCGTCTTGCCTTCAGCTCCTTTTTGACATCACAATCTCTGACACCTCCTGCCACCTCCATGAGCAATGTAGAGGCTGAAGCACCTCTTGATCCCCTTGGACATCCTTCAAACCGACATGTTCTCGCACGTTTACTGTGCTGCTGTTTCTGTTCAACCCCAGAAGTACTAGCAATTGAACCCTTTTGAAATATTGTTGTGTTTTTAAAGATGCTTGAATTAATAGGAAAATGATTGTGGAGTTGGTCCAGAGAATGGTTCATATCTGCAATCTGCAACAGAGGCACAAGAGATCCAGACTTCCATTGTGACGATGTTGATCCATTATCTACTTATTGGACTGAACCTACCACCATATGTTGATATGCACTAGAGCACTGTTTCAGAGTAGTGGTATGAGACTCAGCGGGACCAGTTAAAAGACTTAGTTCAAGGTCTAGTTTTGGTTTTGTAGGTTCTTGTTCCTTTGAAGTTTCAGAGAGAGCATTTTCCATGTTGGATGTCGCACCGCTTCCAAGTTGAAGTTCAACACCGAGACCTAGACTGAGAGATTCCCGCTCCTCGGCTTCTTTCCCTGATGATATGCTGGTGCAAGAACTCAATGAATGACCAAACCCAAGAAGCAGTGAGGCTTTATGCTTCACATTAATAGAGCCATCAAGCATACCATGTTTCCGCTTGCCTCCATTTACAAAGGAAGGAGAACTGGACAACCCAAGAGAATCAACCCTTGCGACAGCATCATTTGAATGATTAGCTCCAGCTTCAACTGTAACAGCTGCGGATTTTAAGTTGGAAGCAAAAGTAGCATCTTTCTGTACACGAACATTGTCCATGTACTTGAAACTCATAGGTTTTTTCACAAGAACAACTCACACTTGCAAGGAAACAACAACCAGACTTCTGGTGCTCGAAAAAGATAAGGAAATTGCTAACAAATTTACTTTGTACTTTCTCCAATGAACAAAAGGCCACCTCCACTAACAAAGCCCGAAGTGTCTGAGCGATCCATTCTAGGGTTGGAATTGAACTCAAAACAAAATCACAAGTAGAGGGAGAACATCAATTGAGGCATAGCCTTATCCCAAATCATAAGATAGACAATGTTCATCCTGTCTCATTAGACAATGGTCCTCCTGTTCACAAAGACAAACAAGCACCTTTATTAGACATACCTATCTTATGTTATGTTACGAAGTTGGAACAAAAAAACTTTTTAAAGTGAAAATTATAATGGACACCAACTACACCAAAAGAATTGATGGTCTATCTGGAAAAAGCTATCGATTTTTAAAAAGAGAGATAACTTTCTGTACAATGGTCCCTATCTTAGTATAACATAACATCTTCAAAAATAAGCTCCTAGCAGATATCAAATACACCAAAAGAATTTTAGGTCCATAATAAAAGATTATAAAAATAAGAGAAAACACCACAAGATCAAGCCTCTTTAATTTGTAAGCATAGCCCTGAGGAAATCTAGCATGAGGGAGAAAAGAGTAGATTTCTGAGATTTCTACTACTGATTTATGTCATCACATCATGAAGAATGGTGGATCATAAGAGGAAACTTAAAACCCAAGATCATATGTTAACTGCAATGCCGCTATCTAGATTTTGACAAAAAATTGATGCCTCAATAATAGACAGAATATATGGATTATCGTTGATTGTGCTGTGGCAAAAGCACGAACAAATTCTCAAATCACACCTTTTCTTTTTATGTCGAGGGGCCAATCACTTTCTCTGAAGCAAAGTTCTAAGAAAATAAAGTAAATTTTCCTTTCATAAATAAAAATAAGGATCGTGTCTATAGTAAATCGATCATATTGGATCATGACAACATCTCACTTTGGATCACTGAAAGCATGTGAAGCCTAAAAAAATCCTTTAAACCACTTATGTACACATGCAAAAATTGGATAGCATCAGCAAAAATCCATTCTAAAAGTAAGTCCAAAAGAAAATCAAAGAGCTAGATGCAAGATATTAAAGAATAAGGAGCAATCAACAAGCTAATGATGAACAGTTAAGTGTTAGAGAAGTGCAAAAGGACACGTACTTCTATAAGAGAATGATAAACATACCAACTCAGAAAGGTTAAAAAATAACGACACCATAGTATACATTCAATTCAATTAGAAAGAAATTATAACTAATCATATGGTGTTTGTTTATTGGTTTTCAAATTCGAGCGGAGGGAAAAACATTTGGTGATTCTTCCCACTTGTCCAGGCTTTTAGTGGATAGAGTTACCCGTACTGTGTTGGTGGTAATCCCTGACCCAGACTAAAAAATTATTTGATCATATGAAGAATGCAACCAAAATTTCCATTGTTGTCATCTACAAACCGGCATGGAGAAGAACATGAAGAGAATATTGAAGATCTCTATGTTCTTCGAGAATAAGTAGATAAACAAAGAGTTAGCAGAGAACTTAGTTTAATATATAGCTAATGTCTTTCTGGAAAATGAACAAGCAAATTACCTTTATGTTGAGCAGGAATTAGCACAACTTGGAATGCACCGCCGAGAAATGAAGGTGGCTAGGGTTTTGGAGTGGCGGCAACTCTGCAAGCTGAGACATAATGGAGGTGGAATACTGGTAGGAAGCAAAATATCAATGGACAACAGAAAATGCATAAAAGGATCGGCAATGACATATAGGCGCACGTTCAATCCCAGTAAAGATGGCCGTCGGTGTCACGACCCAAATCTATGATGGGCAACTATGCCGCTAGGCAAGCCAATGCGTAAGTCCACTTAACTATCCATTGTAAAATTTAAAATCAGAAATTTCATTAAATAAATATAATAAAATCTAGCACTCATAGCAACATGTGTTTTCTTACCAAATTTCTGAATATAAATAAATTATAAAGTGAAGTGAGAATAATAACGTAAAAAAAAATAATGAACATCCACTAGAAACTCTCAAAATTCGGTGTCACAAGAGAATGAGCATCTACTAAAACTATACAACACTACCACAACATATGTCTGGAATATAAAATAGACAAGATATAATAACTGAATAAGATGGAGACTCTTTGTGCTATGAATCGTATCGTAGAATGCAGCTCACCATAAAGTGCCCTCAACAGTTGCGCCAAGATGACCGCCTAATGTACATGCCTCATTACATGCACATTCAGTGCAAAAGTGTAGCATGAGTACGTAAATCAACGTGTACCCAGTAAGTATCTAACCTAAACCCGAAGTGGTAATGACGAGAGATCGATATTGACACTTACTAGTGGTCCAATAAATCAAATATAATAAGGTAGACAAGTATAAAATATGGTAAGTAAACAATGAGAACATATATAGGTAAATAATACGGTCTACAACTAAACAGTGAACACAAAGTCCCTAATTATCGGATACCTCCTCAAATGGAATACGTAATGGTCAATACCAAATCAACGGTCACATCTCAAGCCAGGAAACTCATGAGTACGCAGACTCCTTATCGAGTATTTCGCACGATTCTACCGAGGCGAGCAGCCCGATCCCATAAGAGTGTTTCATAGAACTGCCGAAGCGAATGGCCCGATCCCATAAGAGTGTGATACATAATCTTGCCGAGGCGAACGACTCGATCCCATAAGAATATGTTACTCTGCCGAGGCGAATGGTCTGATCCCATAAGAGTGTGTTACATGATACCGCTGAGGCGAACGACCCGATCCCATAAGAGTGTGTTACATGATACCGCCGAGGCGAACGACCCGATCCCATTAGAATATGAAACTTTGACGGGTCACTAACCCCACTCACGAATATACGTGTGAGTTATAAAATTCAAGAAAAACTATCGCATGAATACGCACAACGCGGAAGAAACTCGCAAAGGAAAGTACAATTTCCACGGCTAATCAAGTAGCTCGTCAAGTACCTAAAATAACAAGTCTGATACTCTACGCGAGTCTAGTCTCAGGCTAAATGAAAATAAAAGCATTTAAACATGCAAGAATAACTCAGATAGTAAAATTGAAACATGGCGTGAGTCTAAGTCTACCCGGACATAGTCAGAAATTCTAGCATACGCAAGGACACTCGTCACCTCATACGTGCGTAGCTCCCACAATATGTAGCACATAATAAATATAACATCTGCGGGGTAAAATTCTCCTCAAAAGGTTTGTCACGACCCAAAATCCGACTAGTCATGATGACACCTAACCCACCTGCTAGGTAAGCCACTTAAGCACTAACCAATTTCAATAACAATTAATAAAGCAATTTAAGTAAATAATTATCTTAACCTTATATATTCCCCAAGAACTGGTAGTACAAATCATGGGCTTCTAAGAATAGAGTTTACAAAGCTGGCATGAAGTAAATACATCATCTGTTTGAAAAGTACATAAACAAAGTTTTATGAATCTAAGGCTACCATAAACAAGAGGCAGCTACAACCGGAACGCAGGTACATCTTCAGATCCAGCTCCCAACGAACACATCAACATCAACAGCCAACATCTGCACGCAAGGTGCAGAAGTGTAGTATGAGTACAACTGACCCCATGTACTCAATAAGTAACAAACCTAATCTTAGGTTGAAAGTAGTGACGAGCTTGTACCAAGGTCGGGTCCAAAACCAATATTCCACAACAGTCCATAATAACGTAAAACAATAATACAAGAAGTAACTCAGAGATAAAATGCTCTGCTAAATCATGATTTCTAAAAATAGTTCTTCCTTTCAAGTACATCAGTGAGAACCCAAATCGTTTACCGAAGTTGCCAAAAATATGAATAAGTTTGAAAATAATAATTTTCCCAAAAATCATTTCTATAATAAATGAGATATTTCATTTTCTTTCCAGATAACCCGTGTAAAACAAATGCATCACTATGCCCATCTGTCAACATGTGTGAG